TTGGGTCAGTTCGGCGGCGCGTTCTGCCCTTCCCGCTCCCTGGAAGCCAGCTGAGGCAGCAGCGGTTGCAAAGTCCCCCCGGGGGGCCTGGGCAGAAGCCCCTCTCGTGTGCCAGGGACCCGGGAGCCCTTTGGAGGGTGGGGGTGGCATTTTTGGGACACCTTCTGCAGACTCTGGTCCCTACCAATGGAGAGCTCACCTGTGTACATGGACGTCCACGGATGCAGTAGCATCAGCAGCCCTACCACCAGCACATGGGGAGTCACAAAAAGCCCCCCCCCGCCCGCCTGAACTCCCAAGTGCACAAATGGGCTCAAGGCGAAAATGGGTCCTGTGAGGCAGCATTTCTCCGATTGCTCTTGGTGCCGCTGCCCCCCCACCCCCGCTAAGCTTGCTCCACCTTCTCTGCCCTCCTAAATGTGTCTAGAGAAAGACAACGCCACCGTGCCCACCGGTGGGGCCAGAGACACCTCCACGCCGGGTGGTGCTCCACCATGGCCATCCAGCTGAAGGGGGGGGCACACATCTTCATTGCTACCAAGAAGAGAGTGGTGTTTTTTTCAGGAGGAGGGGGCACAGAATGGCTGCATGATGTACCGCTTTGGCCAGAGTCGTGTATCCCCTTCCAAGGGCTGGAGGGGGGGGGAACACACACCGTCCCCTTGGTCTTAGAGCCCATGGGTCTACAGCCAAAGGGCAGGGCAAGAGAGGGCTGGGGCTGCCCACCTCCGGGGGGGGGGGGTCAAAAGATCTGCAGGGCAAGGAGCAGCCAGTCCTTCAGCAGCCGCCCCCCCCAATGGAGCCCGGCAGGGTTCGGTCTCCCGCAGAACCTCCTGGAAAGCTTGCTGGCCGTAGCCCTCGGGGTGCCCTTCTGGCTCCACTTTGGGCGTCTGGCAGGGGGCACTGCCATGGGGGTGGAGGCTGCCAAGTGCAGGCGCAGCGCCAAAGGGAACACGGCTTCCCTCCCGCAAAAGTGGCCCCCTTGACACGGCCCATAAAGTGCATATATCAGCCCCTGGTGCTCGCCCCCCCCCTTCCCTGCCCAGCAACACAAAAGCCCCCTCCCCCCTCCAAGCAGAAGCAAACGTGTGGAAAAGCCGCACGCCATTTCCCGAAACAAAACAAAGACCAAAACCACCCTTCCTCCCTCCCACCCCCAAAGAAATAAAAAGGTGTCTGGTTCTCCCCCCCCCCGTCCCACCCAAGCACTTGCATTTGAGACAAACCAAAGGGATCAGAAGCCCACAGTACAAATATTTACAGAATATTGTACAAGCAAAAAGCATCTGGCAGGAGGCAGCCACCTGCGCCCACAACGCAGCTGCCCGGGCCCCGGGAAAAGGCTCTTTTCTGCAGAAAAGCCTAAACGCATGTTTCTTTTAACAGAACAAATACAGTAATGATGGAGGGGTGTGGTTGGAATGGGAGGGCAGTAGAAGAGAGAGGAGGGCGGCAGCACGTCCTTCCACACAGGGCTGTGGGGGGGGAACCTCTCTGCCTGCCAGGGTGCTCAGCCCCACCTCCCCATGATCCCACATGGTCACCTTCACTCCTGCATCTCAAACACGCCTGGGCACGTGGAGCCAAAACACCCAGCCGGGGTGTTCCTGGGGCTGTGGGTGTTGACCTCCCCCCCTTCCTTCGTGTGTGTGTGTGTTGGAGGGGGGGGTAGATGCATTATCCAAAAGGCAAGCATTTGGCCTGATTCTCCCATGGGGTGCGGGCCAGGGTGAGTGGGGAATCCTGCTGTGTCTAAGTGCCGGGAATAGGAGGTGGCATCTTTTCCTACCAACATGGGCCACGCAAGAGAGGCCCCCCATCTCTTGGGAACCGACTGTCTCAAGACCCCTCCTGCCCGCAAAGGCGACGGGCAGAGCGCCAAGGGGCGAAGGTCTTCGGGGCGGGAGCAGCTTACACTGGAACCCCAGAGGCCAGCTCATGGGGGGGGGGAAATGTCTCACACGAGCTTGGGGTGGGGGAGCCGGTCCAGGGGGAGGACCTTACAGCCCCAACTCACCAACATGGTAGCCTTTGAAAATACAGCCCCCTGCCCTCATCCCACCATTGAGGAGCCAAGGAGAAAATGCATTGGGGATTGGGGGGGGGAGAGACAGGGCAGGCCAGGAGTCCTGAGGAGAGAAGAGGTGGCTGCCCTTCCACCCACCCCCCAAAAGTCTGGGCAGCGTCCTGAAATTAAAGGGAGCATGAGGGGCACGATGGCCCTCCACACCCCTAGAGGCAGGAAAAGACCTGTGCTTGTCCTTGGTCATGAATCGGGGCCCTCAGCAAAGTGCACACACTTGGAGCCCCCCCCCCCAGAAACAGGGGCTGTCCCAGAAACACCCCTCCCCAATTGGGGAAGGAGGGATCTTGAAGAGATTCCACCAAGCAAAATGCAAAGTGGGAACCTGGGGAGCCCCACACACACACACACACACATCCCTTAATTGGGTGACCAGCTCCTCTTTCTGTTTGCTGTTTTTAAAGTTAGATATGATGTGTATATATTTGAGAGAGAAAGTCCCTCAAGAACTACAAGCGATTCTCCTCAGGTCTACACAGAAGGAAAACTCGGGCGAGGGGGGGGGGACTCTTTCTCTTTTTCCTCACCCCCTCCATGCTTTGAGGAAAGTCTCAAACCGTGGCTGCCTTTGGGGAGGGGGTGGGTGGGGGTGGGAGCAGGCAGGGCTGCACAGCTTCAGCCACTCCGCACCCCCCCCACGGAGCCCATCGGCAACCAAGGGAGGAAAGGGCTCCGGAGCTGACCGCACGGGGAAGGGCTCCAGCTTCTGCCCCACAGAGCCCAAAGGTCAGCCTGCCCTCCCTTCCACACACACACGCACACACAGACACTGCTCATCCCTGCTGAGCACGAACAGGGCTCTCCCACCTACCCAAGGTAAAGAGCGGGGAAGGGAGACCCTTGGTTGTAAGAAAAGGCCCTTTCCCTCCCTCCCTCGTTGACCGTCTCTGGCGGCTTTCGGTTCCACGAACAACCAGTCCATGCGGGAGGGCAGTCGGTCGGTCAGGCGGTCAATGGGCCCCCAAGGTGGCGGCAGCCCCCCTGGGCCGAAGCACAGGCCGACGCTGGAAGGGCGAGTCCATGCCCCCCCCGGTGCACCCACATCTGGGCCGGCCTGCTTCCAGGGCCACAGACTCGGGGCGGGGCGAGGGGGTGCAGCGCCAGCAGCGTGGTGGGGCTTCGGGGCGGCTCGGGGCGAGGTGGCGGCTTACTTGAGGAGGGAGATGTCGTCCGCAAAGTCATCGCGGCCCCGGCGCAGGCAGCTCAGGCAGCGCCACTGGGAGACCATGAGGCAGAGCGGGAGCATGAAGAGGGCACAGATGGCAGCCATGATGTAGGCGATGGTCATCAGCGTCGACTCGTCCGTCTGGGGAATGTTGTAGCCGCAGTCCTCCATGTCTGCCTGCGGGAAGGGCCCCTCGACCGTCGCCATCCGGAACTCGTCGTGCACTGAAGGGGGGGAGGGAGGGACGGAGGCACAGGTGAAGACCGCCAGGCGCGCGGCAATGGGGGTGGGGAAGGGGGCGCATGGCCGCCTCTCCACGGGACAGAGCTCCCAAGCCAGGCCCATGGCCTTACCGTGACAGGAGCTGACAGCAAAGCCGATGCGCTTGCGCGCCCGGTCAAAGACCACATAGAAGCCCTCCATGATGACGGCCCCCATAACGGTGCCGGTGGAAGACTGGGAGACGGCAAACTTGTAGCACTCGTCCTGAGAGGTCGCCACGTCCTCCACGGGCCGCAGGTATTGCTGTGGGGAAAAGCAAGAAGTGGCCTCTTTGGGGTCAGCAGAGCCGCCGGCTTGGCTTTCCACACGGGAGCCATGGGGGTCAAAACCTTCCGCCTCGGTTGGAGACATGCTAGCCTGGCTCAAACGGGGACGACGCTCTTCCTTCGCCGGGCTGCTCAGAGACACTCCAAATTCTCGTGATTTCATGCATTCTCCGAGTCCTGGCAGCAAAGGCCCAGAACTAGCTCGGCCCCACAAAATCGGTCTCCCGGACTGCCAAAGACCACGGAAATAATTTCTCTCCTGCTGACGTGAGACAGAATGCCACGTCCCTACTCTCACCGCACGGCATGGCATCTTAGGAAATACCTGACCGGGACCTCTCCTCCCGGCAACACCAGCCATGGGGGCTTTTTTTCAAGCCCTCCCCTTGCATGTCAAGCCCCCCACCACCACCATTCCTCCCCTTCCCCAGCTGCAGCAAAAAAGGCCAGCTCTCACCTGGGGCAGGATGCTGATGCGGAAGGACTGGTTGGTGGTCTCGCCCATCAGGTAGAGGGAGATGACGGGGAAAATGTGCCAGGGGGTGGTGCCCATTTGCCAGCAGACCAGCTGCTCCCCCAGCCAGAAGCCATCGGGGAACTTCTCCGTCTGTGGAAAAGGGGAGGGATCGGCTCAGGGAGCAGAAGCACACGGGAGAACCTGCGCTCCGCTCTGCTCCGCTCAGCTGAGGGAGTGGCAGAGGGGGAGAGGCTGGCTGTGGACCTTGGGAGGCGTGCGTTCTTTCTTGGGTCCCTTTCTCGGGAGGAAGGTGGGTTTAAAGCAGAATGAAAGGACGGAGGCCGTGTGCCCCCCCACCGGCTCCCCGAGTACCTCAAGAGGAAGCATCTCCCACGCCTTGCAGCCCCTCTTCAAGGGGGCAATGGAGGACTGGGTATGGAGGGACTGCCCTGCTCTCCCACCCCCACCCCCACCCCCAGGGAGGGAGGAAGGGGTGTCGGGCTTTCATGCCTCAGAGACACACCGAGAGGGGACACCTTCCAGGGGAAGGAACGGCTCCAGGTGCTCCGGACTGCCCTGGCCCGGGGGGGGCGCGGGGGTCCAGCAGCAGAACTGGGCCACTCTGGTCCCAGGGTCCCTGCAAAGAGCCCACAAATGTTCCAGGCGGAAGCCTCCTCCTCTGCCCCTTCCCCGCTTTGCTCTCTCTGTCGGGTCTCGAGAGGGGCTTCCCCCCCCCCACTTGCTCTTTGGGGATGTTCGTGTCTCACCGAGGACGCCGTCTTGATGGCTTTCACAGCCGCCTCAAAGACCTTCTTCGGGAGCCGGAGGTTGGTGGTCCCACTGTCCACGATGCTCTTATCATAGTTGTACTGTCGAGGGGGGGGGTTCAGGAAGGAGAGCTGTCAGGCAGTTGCTCCCTGCGGGGGCCCCTCCCATGCAGGAACACCCCCCACCCCCCACCCCTTCGACTGCTCCAAGAGCCCCAGCCAGGCTCCAGAGAGACCAGGCAGTTTGGGTCAGACTCTGTCTGTCACGACCAAAAACCTGCCACAGTGGCTGGGGGATAATGGGAGTTGTGATCCTGCAATGCACCACCACCACCACCCCCCGTGCTTTGGCAGAGGGTAGGTCCAGTAAGAAGCTGGGGGAAAGGCCAGGGCAGGACCCATCTCACAGGCCCAAGACCACCCAAAACGACCTCCACCACTCAGGAAGGACGTGGAGCTGCGTTTGCCAGGGCCCAATCCTGCGCATACTCGTGCTGCTGCAGCCCCTCCTAAGCAGACCTCCCTCCCCCTTCTGCTTGCATGAACGTCAGAGGACCTCCCCCCCCCGGCCCCCTCCTCACCTCCTTGCAGTCCATCTGGAGGTCTTGCTCGTTGATCTCGATCTTGACAATGATCACCTCGTAGTACCACTCTTTCCGAATGGGGGTGTACCAGATCCTGCCCCTGGAGAGGGAGGGGTCGATGCCCCCAATGATCTGTGGGGACAGGGACACCGGGCAGATGTGAGGGGAAGGGCCTGAGCACAGAGCTGAGGAGGTTACTTCCCCGTAAACGGAAATAACCACACGGCTTAGGACAGGACTTCAAGTAACTTGTTTCCCGTGGTGACTTGGAGGACACATTGCTCCCTTGGGGTGTTATTGGCTGCAATGCCTGCTAGCTTTTCTTTCTTTAAACAAACAAACAAACAAACCGTACTTGAAAGTTAGTGAGACAACTGCATACAACTGGAGCGCTCTAAATGTCTCTAAAATAGCCCTTAAAGGGGACCCTAAAAATAACTGGAAATGTAAACTCACGACACCAGCAAAGCAATGCAGCTCCCACTTGCTAACATGGCCTCAACGCCGCCTCCTTATTCCTGCTCCCGCTGTCTCACCCTGAAAACCATGTCCAGCAGCAGGGGGTTCGTCCCTCTGCACATGCACAGGAGCTCCCTCCCTCCCCCATGACTTGAGCTTTCTGGGGGGGGAGAATGCCTCCAGCGTGGGACCCCTTCTCACCTCGTGTTGGGGCTTCTGTAGTTCTTCTGTGGTGGGGAAAGACGCTCACCCTGTGCTCAGAGGCAACCAGACCAGACTCTTCCCCCTCCCCGGTCGCGCGCATCCCATGGCCCCTGCCACTCACCATGCTGCCCCCCACGGAGGCCAAGGCCTCCGAGTCATTCGGTGGGAAGCCCGCTCCGCAGAGCTGCAAGGAGAAGATGTTCGGCACCTGCGTCTGCTTCACCAGCGAGTCAAAGAAGGGTTCCAGGGTGTCGTCGGGCTGGAAGGAAGAGAAGCATGGGATCACCTCAGGTCTAGGGTGGCAAGCCGCTCAGGTTTAGCAAAGCTTACCACTTAAGGTCTTGGGTTCCGGACAGCAAATGGAAAAACCTACGTCAAATTCAGGAGGGCACGGCCCTCACAGGCAACTGGAGTCCTTTCACTTAATGGGTAGCATTGAGTAACAACAGTCCATCGGCCAGGGTGTGTTTTTCAGATGAGAGCCGCTGATGCCCCAGAATAATTCAGCCAAGTGAACCACTGTGTCCCTGAGAAGGCGGGTTAAACCTTACACAGGGGGAGAACAAGCTCTTTTATTAAAGCCGTCCCCATCCTCCGGTTCTGCTTGGAAGGGCACCTTCTTGTTTAAATGCTGGTTTTTGCCACTGCCCTTTTAAAAACCTGCTCTGAAACTGGCAACTGCTTTGCCCCATCGGCCGAGCCCCTGAGAGGATCAGCCGGCTGCAGAATCAATGAGCGTTCTGAAAGGCACCGAGCCTGTGGGCAGAAAACTCCCCTTTTAGCACAAAACACTTAAACGATCCTTTTGGTGGATTTTATTGGGCTCCCTTCACTTTGTGTGCGCGTGCGTGCGTGAGTGTGCATGCTGCTGGAACGGCCCAGTTGCTTCTTCTCTGAGACAATGTCAAGAGGAGGAAACAAACCTTTGCTCCCCAGAACCACCTGTGCTGAGCTTCAGCTGACCCAGGAAGTTCAAAAAATACTTCAAATATTCCAAAAGAGAGAGAGAGAGAGATTGAGGAGCACCACCTGTGCTGAGCTTCAGCTGACCCCGGAAGTTCAAAAAATATTTCAAATATTCCAAAAGAGAGAGAGATTGAGAGAGAGATTGAGAGAGAGAGAGAGGTTTGAGGAAGTGCCCAGACCTTTTCCTCTTTTGGGGAATGGGGGGGGGTCGGCTGGGGAATAAATAACCAGACGCCACCCCTGGATTGGATTCCACACAGAGAGTTTCCCGGGGAGGGGGCCAGGCTCACCCGGGCGATCTCGGCATAGGCCAGGCCCAGAATCCCTTCCCAGTTAGAGCCGTTGATGAAGAACTTGTCCGAATCCGTGATGGCAGCGATGTTGGCGCGAACGGTGACGTTGGGGCCGTGGGGGATCGTCACCAGGTCTGTGCCCAGCTCCCCTTCCCACTTCCCTTGGGTGTACGGCACGTAGACCCCTTTCCGCAGGTCACGGTAGGTGCTGGAGCTGAAAGAGACACCAGCCAGAGGGCCCAAGGCCCTGAGAAGGGGCGGGGGTGGGGAAGAGCTGCCAGGGGGCTGGGAAGGGGGCGGCCAGATCAGTGGGTGAACACCAGCCTGTAAAGCCCGAGGGAGAGTGCCAACAAACCCGCCGGCCTTCCGCATGGCAGGAGAGCCATCAGGAAGCGTGGGGAGGCTTGTGCGCCGGCTGCCAAGCCTGCTGCTGCCGCTGTCCAGGGAAATGTCCAAAAAACCCCACCCCGCCCCATATCCTTCCTCGCTGTCAAGATTCTTGACCTCTCAACCCATCCTGAACAAGACAGCCCTCCTGAGAGAGGACCGTCTTCCACCGAAAGAGGCAGGTGGCCACCCTTCCAGACAAAGAGGCAACGAGCCATCTAGGCAGCCAGGAAACATCCTTTCTGCCCTTTGTCCATTATGCCCTTGGGTCCAGGGCCTGGCGGCAGCCCAGCAGCCCCCCCCCCCGGACACAGAAAGAAACCATTTAGACCCAGGCTGTGCTGGTGCCACCCGACGCCCCCTGGCACGGCCTTTGTTGGAGGACCAGGCAGGCAGGCAGGCAGGCTGGCAGGAGGAAGCTGTGCAAGAAGGGGCCTGGGGAGCTCCTGCCAGGGGGACCCCCGGCCTGGCCCTCTGGGACTCAGGCACCACGCCTGGTGGAAAAGCTGTGGGGTTGGGGAGGGGGCAGGGCTTCCCCAGCACCACCCCTCTCCCCTCCCTCTCCCCTCCTCTCTGCCCCCCCCAGGTCGCTCGCTCCCACTCATTACTCACAGCTGGCGCTGGTAGTAACGCCTCAGGAAAGGATGGCGAGCCGCACCGACGGCAAAGTTGCTGCTCCCGGTGTCCACCAGGATGTTCAGCTGGGGGGAGAGAAGCAAAGGCTGGGTGCCCTGCACACGGGCGCGGAGGGGCGGGGGGGTGGCGCTCGCAGGGCCACTGCAACCCCCTCGCCCGACCTGACCTGACCCAGCAGGCTGCAGCTGACAGCACCCTTCCACAGAAGCGCCATGCCGGGAACCCCAAACCCTCCTGGGGCCCCCCATCCTCCTCCTTTTCCAAAGGGGGGGGCGAGCTCTTTCCCAGGCAGACCAGGAACATCCCAATGGGTGGGGATACAAGGCCGGGGGGGGGGACGCTGCTCATGGCTTCAGGAGACAAACCCGGAGGGGCCCCTGAAGGTCTCCAGGATCCAGGCCGGCCCCCCCACACACTCATCCTGCCACCCTCCCCCTTCAGGCAGGCTTTCAAGCGACCCGGAAGAGTTGGGCTTTGAGGAAAGGGGCAATTCTTAACCTCCGAGTTAATAAAAGCTCATAAAAAAGGCATCAGGACATTTTTTTTTTTCCTTTTGAGTGGCCGGCAGCAACTCCTTTGCTTGGCCTGAATCTCAATCCGTCCCTGGGTCGAGGAGAGCTCCTGAAGGTCAGCGACTCGGTGTGGGCTTGCCATCCACCTGGGTCCACCTTATCCCAAGGTCATGGGCTCCAACACCCCCACCCCAACCGCCGCGCTCCCTCAAGCCAGCAGCGGTCTCGTTTGCCCCGGATGGGAGGAAGCCGCGCACTCAGCAGCCGAGTGCAGGCATATCGGCTTCCCTGTGTAGCTCAGGAAGGAGGCGGCGGGAGGGAGGGAGGGACGGAGGGGCCCTGCCCTGGGAAAGAACCTCCCTGGCCCTCCACCTGGCAGGGGGCCAGAGAAAGCTAAGCCCCACACACACACTGGGGAATATCCACACACACACTCTCACCGATCTCTCCTCGGAAGGGCACCCATGTGGTCTGAGAAACGCTCCTCACACTTAAAGCCAGGGGGAGCAAGGGGTGGTCCCCCAGGGTTGTTGGTCTCCAGCCGCCCCCACCCCACCCCTGCCAGCTCAGCATCTCTGGGGGTCCCGTCCAGTAACTCTGGAGGGCCACAGGTTGCTCAGCCCTTCGCTGAGACCCACCTGTTTTTGCCAAGTGGTGGTCAGGGAGCTGCAAACGCCCTTGGGCCACTTCCCTGGTGACCCCACACACACACCCCCACCCATGTACAGAGAGAGAGAGAGAGACTCTCGGAGACAAGCAGACGGGACTGGAATGTCTCCCATACTGAGAAGACCACCATCCTGCACATCGAGGGGGCTCCAGAGAGAGCACCCAGAGGGCCCCCCCCACCTGCTCGCTCCCAGCCTTGGAAGCCAGAGGGAAGGGCCAGGGCCTCCCATGACTTCCGGCACGCTGGCTTTCAGGGCTGCAGTCTATAGTTCTGGGAAGAGGCCTGCCTGTAATCAGGATGACGAGATCACGAGGAGGATGCCGGAGACTCCCCGGCTTCTCTGACACAGGCTTCACCCAAGTTCACCCTCGCTGTCTTCCATGTGGCTCTCATTAGGATGCCATCACAAACCACTCGTCCTGACGGGCAGCCGTGAACTTCTCTGGACAAAGAGGGCACTGTGGGTCAGCCACGCAAAAGCGCTGGGTGAGGAATCCCTCCGGCAAGATGTCCAGGGAGCAGCAACCCCATCACCACCACCACCGGTCCGGTCCGTCTGTCACAGCAACTCGCGACCGAAGGCAGTTGTGGCAACTTGGAAACCGACATGTTTTAGTGGGTGGGAAATATCCTGGGCTCAGTCCACTGGGCTGCAGTCACATAAGACAATTGAGTCTCTCACATGCCCCAAGATTCATGGTTGCACCCACAAATGTTGATATAACACAAATATTTTACGTTCCCTATTTGCAGGGCATTTTGGTCTGTACCTCTTCCAGTTCGTAACATTGGAACTTCCCTCCGTCCTTGCATGGAAATCTCCCTCTCCAGTCCCCTCTCCTGAGCAAGCCCACAGACTCCCACAGAATAACTGGCCACAGAGCTCCTGCGGGTCAGAAGCTCGATCCAGGTGGGGAGGGCAGCCCCCAGGGTTTTAGCAAAAGTCTTTTCCAAATGGCAGGAGATTCGCTGCTCTTTAAAGTCCCAAAGACTTCACAAGCAGCCACACACACACAGAGAGAGAGAGAGCAGACCAAACTGTGCTTTGGGGGCAGAGCCAGTGCCACGGTGCCCCTAGATACCAGGGAGGGAGGGA